TCAGTTTAGCTCTAAATTCGATCCATCGGGTCTGCATGCAAGCAGACGTCATTTACTCGTTTTGTACGTCGGATCCGATCGATCCATCCGGTCAATCGGACAATTTTCCTCTGTATAGTTTCAAGAAAAAACGTTACCAAAAAGAAGCGGTCCAATTAGCTATATGCCATACCTGACTGTGCTTATAATATTATAAATTCATTATATCACATGATGCTATATTTTTATACGTATATTTCTCCATCGAACAGCGCAATCGGTAGCGCATGTATATGATGGATTTTTCCTTCGGACTGCGATCGCGGTTTTATCATGGGTGTTTTTAATGTTACACATTTAGTAACTCTTACGTATTGTGTTTCAATAATTGAACTGCACGAGCGAAGATAGAATCCCTCTAATTATAAGGAATTTTACAAATGAAAAGTTTTTTATCCCCTTATTTATCGATTGAAATTTTTCATAATGGCTAATTGGCTATATAACTTGTCCATTCCTGTTAAGCCCAAACTTGTTTTTGTTGGTCCACGAAACACTGAGGCCTCGGGTCAGTAGACGGCGAAGTTTTCATTCGCCGAACCGATTCAACTAATGGCACAAGTTCAACAACTGATTAATTGCACCGTGGCAAAATACAAGTACACTCCATCAGAAATTTCAGTGCTAAATTGCTAATATATAGTCATAATTATATATGCATGCATGGTGATATACTGTACGTCAAAAAAATTATGCAATAGGTTCGGCGCATGAAAAGCACGGTGTCTAACCCATGTCGAACCTTTATCTCATAATACGACATGCCACATTTTGTTCCATGTTATGTGCCTAATAAAAACTTGTTCTCTTCTGTCGTACCTAATCGTTGCATGTATTAGGTTCGGCGCATGAATAGTTCGCCATTTAAACCGGGCCTTGCAAATTTGGCCATCATCGTGTATAGATGCAGGCAAAGGAAATACGTTTATTTAATTAACTGTTCTGAAAAAAAAAATTCACGAATAACGCTAAAGGGGTATCGCATTTTAAAATAGTTTTTATTGTGTTGAGGAAATGAACGTGGTGTTATATGATCAAACTGAGAAGTGCAACGGCCAAGGCTAAAAGGAAGTTAAAGCAATAATTTAAGCATCTTCCATCATTTTCAAAAACCTCGTTATTTTGAAATACGTCGATCCCTCCCGTTCCTGTTTCATCGGTTGGTTCTCAGTTAGCATCTACTTTGGTGTGCTATAGTGTATGGACTGGGGGAGGGAGATAAAGATTTGTAATAATTTGCACACTGTTCACTGATGATCTGTTTCTGCAAGTGTCCCAACCACGCTTGAAAATGATTGTTGCTCTGACAGCTTTTAGCACATTAAAGATGCTCTCAGTCTTCAGAGTTTTGGCATGCAAGTGTGTTTAGTAAACGCCAGCACACAACAACATAATTAATTATATAGAATATGTTAATGTTTTTTCAGTGTGGCAGATGGAACAAGTGCTGCTATATGTATAGCTAACGTTATATAAACAGTCAGTTACTAAATTTAAACACCAAATAATTTACCTTAATGAATAATGCGTGCATGCAATATAATGACTTATATAGTGACTCGTGACTCGTAACGGCTGCGTTATTTTCTACACAGCAAAATCCAAAATTCTTAGCAAGAAAAAAATTCTTGTTTCAAGCAAGACATGGCTTGAAATAAGATATCAAGTAAACTTTGTCTTACCAAGCAAAAGAGTTTACTTAAAACAAGTACATATGTAGTTGCTAAGACGAGACGTGATAATTTGTTACTTGCCAAAAATAATAATTTACTTAAAACAAGCATAAATTCACCAACCGAGAAACAACTTGGGATTTCAAATGAAAAATGAAGTCATTTTTCACTTACCAAGAATAATAATTTACTTAAAACAAGCATTAATTCACATACTAAGAAACTTTAGCACTTGAATTGAAAAAGCAAGTAAGTTTTTACTTGCAAGAAATAACCGATTTACTTAAAATAAGATTAAATTCACTCACTAAGAAAATCTCATCGTTACTTAAATTGCCGGTATCATTTGTGGGATATTTACGGATTTGAAAATAGCAGAAAAAGTTAGTTCAAAAGTTCTAGAACCTTTTTTGATTTAGTTCAATAATTTCGTGTTTATAGACCCTTAAACATGGCAATTTTGCCTTTTTTGCAAAAATTTCCATCGTGCTTAAATTTGCTTGGAGACCTGCATGGGACTCAGGAACGCGAGCGTAAACAAATATGAAATATAGATTATATTACAACTTACTGCTCTAACTTACTAAACTTACTAACTTGCAAGAAAAGTCGATTTATTTAGCTCAAAATCGTCTTCCAGTAGGCCTACTAACAAATGTTCATAACAGGATATGTAAATAAATTATTCTTATATGGAACGGGCATAATTAATCGTGTTATAGTTTTTGGTATTAAGTGAATCGAATATTTCCTATTTGTAACTATCGTGTGATAGTCACATTTGGCAATTAACATTCTGAGACTGCGAGTAAACAAACGAAAAATTATGTGCGTATTTTATAGATTCAATAGCTTAACCAGCATTGCCACAACAGGAAGAAATTACATCGACTGAAGAGCGAAGCGATTTAAAACAAACAACTATACAACGAACAACTGCATTATGTGATGTTTGGTGATAAGTCGGTTCCATGACGTCATGGTCCATGTGCTCATTATTTATTAAACCGTTAGATCTTTGCTAGTAGATTACAGTAAATTTAAGAATGTTTGTTATTTTAGTGAGTATATAGAGTATCGGAATAATTTATTTGAAAAGGAATAAGGAATTTGGCATATACTGATTTTCCAAGACATTCGTATACTGTACATAATTATAATTCATATTTTTTCAAGAGCGACAAACTTCAATCGTTCAGGAAGATTTGGACTGTGTTATATAATTAATAGACATGCATGTTTATGTATTCAATTTTGATAAGCGTAAAGGAGAATACCGTTAATCATTATATCAATAAATCTTGTTTTCTATGAAATGAATGTATTAGCCTAATCTTTCATGCATTGTGTTGAATTAATGTCCATGGTTAAATGTACTGCATGGAAAAATTTCAGGAAATCTTTGTTAATATATGCACTTGACCAGGACTTACTTAACTCTTAAGATCAGGTGAAAAAAGATATAGTTTTTGAAAAGAGAACTGCTTGAAACGAGTAAATTATCTTCTCTGTTTTTAACTATAGATTTAAGTAATAACATGCTTGAAACTAGTTCTTGAAATAGGAATTGAAATACTCATTTCAAGGACTAAATTTCTTGCTAAGAAAAATATTCTTGCTAAGAATTTTAATTCTTGGTAAGTAAAAACATTCTCACTATATATAAGGATAAGTATTTTCCTACTACTTGCAGATTTAAGTAATAATATGTCCTTAAAACTAGTAATTATTTTCTTGAAATAAGAATTAACATTCTCGTTTCAAGCACTTGATTACTTGTTAAGTCTTAGTAATTCAGAATTTTAAACAATACGTCATGGTAAGTAAAAACTTTCTCACTATACGGACAAGTATTTTCTTACTAGATTTAAGTAATAATTAATATTCTTAAAACTACTAATTATTTTCTTGAAATAAGATCTATACTTAAAATTCTAATTTCAAGCACTTGGTTACTTGTTAAGAAAAATTCTCTTGCTCAGAATTTTAAAAACATTTCCCGTCTTTCTATAGAGTTATATATAGAAACTGCACGCGTGGGAGTTTTGGAGAAACGAGAAATGTAACAATTAAAAACAATAAAAAAGATAAATTTATTGATTTTAATTACTTTCATTCAAATATTTATTCTATCTTAATCGGCATGTAAAGAATAATTAAAGCATATAGCCAAGTAAACAAGTATACCGCTGTCAAAGCAACAGACAGCACTTAATTAACAGGCTTACTTTACTAAAGTATATAATTTATACATGCTTCCAAAGAAAGCACTGTTTTAAATAGTTAGTAAACGTTTAAACATGATTAAAAACGATTAAAAACAAAAGTAATTAAAAAGTCCCGTGGAAATATTTTTAGAAAGACAAAATAAAATTAAAATATTTTACATTGGTATAAACAAGCAGTCAAACAGATACAACTTATGCTGTATACTTTGTGCTTTAGGTCTTCGCTTTCTAAGTAAGCAAAGCGTTGCCTTTTTTGTGACGGTTCTTTGCCGTTTTCGGACGTTTTCCAACTTTTGTTCAATATTTTTTATATATATATATATATATATATATATATATATATATATATATATATATATATATATATATATATATATATATATATATATATATATATATATATATATATGCAACCCCGTTTTTAGATGTACATTGTCTTTAATTAGAGAAAACATGACAAACTTTTCGCAAATAAGAGCTTTAGTCTTTATCAGAAAAGTATTCGTGATACAAGAAAACTTTTCGCCATTTTGTGAAACTGGTAAGATATAAAATAAACAGTGTGATGCTTAAATGAAACCAAAATGTGATTAAACAGTGAAATTGTAAATGTTAAAGTTTTTTTTACCTTAATGAATGGGAAATATAATCAATTTTTATATATAGAGTTGTGACTAAACTTTTCAAAGTGTAACGGCTTCGTTATTTTCTATTTGTAGAATGTGGTCACGTAAATTGGTGAAATGGTTAAGACATGCAGTGTTTGTTTTTGTGGAACCTCATTTTTAGATGCAGATTGTCCTTCATTAAAGAAAACATGACTTTACTCTTCACAATAAGAGCTTTAGTCTTTATCAAAAAAGTATTATTGATGCAAGAAAACTTTTTATTCACCATTCTGTACTACTGATACGATAAGCAGTGCATGCTTATATAAAACCAAAATGTGTTTAAACATTGAAATTGTAAATGTTGAAGGGGTTTTGTGGATGGAAATTTTGAGTGTGACTTATATTCTTTTTAGACTTAATCAAAAGAAGCAAAGGAAAATGCAACATTGGCTCAATGTCAGTTAGATCTGAAATTATATAATTATGGATATAAACTTTAAATTCCACCTACAAACACCGCTTCAACAGACAGTTTAACTGAACGTCCATTCATCATATACTCATTCCACTTTACCCACATTTTGTAGTATTTTAAGGGTCCATGCGGCATCTGCAGCTGCACCCATCTTGAATCTATATTAAGTATGTGTGTTGAACATATATAAAAAGGACGAATCACTTGGTTTGACTGTCAGTTAACTGAAGAAAAAGGCAAGAAAATATATTGAAGACCACCAATAAAACAGCAAGATGACGTTCAAGGTATAATCTATATAACTTAGCTTTCTCAAATTGTTATCTTTTGATCAATTTTTTTCTTATTTTGCTAACTCACTGCCATGCATGCTGTTTAACAAAATGTAATGTTGCTTGTACAATGTTTAATGAAGATTTTGAGTTTTGTTTTGACTGTCTATGTAACGATTTCTTTGTCCAAATCAGTGACTGTTGTCTACGCAGTTATAATATGTCTGCTTAAATTGCTTGATCATGAAATAACTAAGAGATTGGCATATCAAATCGGAATTGAATACTTTTAAACTTGGTCTTGGTCCAAAATGTTGTTTTTAAACTTAAACGCTTTTCAAGCTTGCGAGTTACGGTCAATTACAATAAAAGTATGCAGATTTTTCTGGGAGTAAAGACTATAAAAGAATATCTTGTATTATATGATGGAGATGTACAAACAGTTTAAAAAGAGTTCTATTTGTGTATTTGTTCATATATACGTTCCAATATACTTTTTTCACGAAAACATTGCAACTTTTCTGAAAAAGAGAAATAGAACAGTAGAGCAAATCAAATGTAAATGATTCTTGCAGGAGTAAACGCAAATTTGTGGCACAAATCGAGGTAGTGTTTTGCTTGTTCGCGAAATCAACATTTCGCGTCAAGAAGAGCTTTAAGCATCTTTATGCAGTACGTTAAAAAGTTCATTTTCTGCACTAAGAACTTTTAAACTCTATAAAAAACCGTTAAAATCTTACATAAAGAAAAACAGAAGATGCATGCAATCAGATAAGACAAGGAAAAGTGCTAATATTGATAAGAAAAAATCGTGTATTAAGCACAGAAGACAACAAGAAAATGCCAGAATGTAAGAAAAATCTGACTATGATTCCGAGAGTTTTAGGGCCAAAGAAATTCTTTACATATCCATGCACAATTCTCACGCAAAAATGAAAGAAATCGTGCACTTCTTAAAGGAACAAATTTCTTTTTAAAGTTTGTTCGTTCACTGCAACCAGGTATATCAATCATGTTCCGCTCGCTACTCTGGTTTAAATAAATGATTACAAAGCCCAGTCGAATTGTAATCATGCAAGACCCAACGTTTCGACACTCCAGTCTAGTGTCTTCATCAGGGGTGATCTAACGATTCAATCGTAGCTTCTTATATACCCAAGGGATGACGTCACCTGCCAATGAGATGCATGTATTCCTCTGGCAAATAGGCACCGTCATCTCTATTCAAAACATGATTACTCATATTTATGTGCCACGCTTCTAGGCAAAGTCTTTGACCATAGCGATTGTTTGTGGTAATTACTTTAGAGTTTTGCCACGCAATCTCGTGTTTGGTGTATCATACATGTTCGGCTAAAGCTGATTTTCTCTTGTCTAAAGTTGAAAGAAGCCTTTTGATATTCTTTTATCCGTATACCAAACTGGCGTTTAGACTGACCCAAATACTCTTTCTCGCAGTCACCGCATGGTATAGAATATACAAAGCTTGGATTACAAACCCTAAGAACAGCATTAAAATATAGAATATACAGCATGAGTTTTCTGATTTGTTTTAACAGGATCTTTTGGCTTTGCGAAAATATGGCCTAAAGTCAAATAGGGTTTTAAGGCAACCTTAATATTATGATTACTTAAGATTATCTTGATTGGTTCTGTGACACCTTGAATGTATGGAACTATTGCATAACCCTTAACAGAGGTTTCACCCTTGGAGTTATTTTGGTTCCCACAAACAGATGATCTCAGGCAATCATTAAGAAAACGTTTTGGGTAATTGTTTTCCCCTAAAACATTTAGAACATATTTACGTTCAGTAGCTTGGGAATCACTGTTTGACGGCAAGGATTCAGCTCTTTGAAGCAACAAGGGAAAATCAGCTTTAGCCGAACATGTATGTTACACCAAACACGAGATTGCGTGGGAAAACTCTAAAGTAATTACCACAAACAATCGCTATGGTCAAAGACTTTGCCTAGAAGGATGGCATATAAATATGAGTAATCATGCTGAATAGGGATGAGGGTGCCTATTTGCCAGAGGAATACATGCATCTCATTGGCAGGTGACGTCATCCCTTGGGAATATAAGATAAGCCACGATTGCATCATTAGATCACCCCTGATGAAGACACTAGACTGGAGTGTCGAAACGTTGGGTCTTGATTACAATTCGACTGGGCTTTGTAATCATTTTTTTAAACCAGAGTAGCGAGCGAAACATCAACAAATTTCTTGTTAATTTAATTTGCATCAACTCGTCAAGTAATTGTATTATCCTTATTTTTGAACATAATCAATATTTTCGAATTTCCAATTGTGAGGGAAAACGAAATATTGGTAAGAAAATTTGCGTAGCATTTAAACTAAATATAAGTTAAGAAATGTTTCACCTTCAGTTCCTTATTTCATCTCAAGTGCTTTGTCTCCAGAATTATAGGTGGCCGGACATTTTGCCGAATGACACTTTGACGAAAGACCGATTTTGCCGAAAGACATTTTGCCGACGGAGATTTTGCCGAACGGACGTTTTGCCGAACGAACATTTTGCCAAACGGACATTTTACCGAACGGACTGTTTGCCGAAAATAGAGATAATCTTCTGAACTTTATAATTAGGTTCGCTTATACACGGTCAAAATTTCTGTGATTAAAGTCATTGTCGATTTTGATGACAGAAACTATGATAGTGAAGTATATATAGTTTCGTTTTATATATTCTTTCAAGTTTTTCACAAGTTTACCGAAATTTCGCGATAAAAGGAATAACGGCATCATTCAACATCATTGATGAATGCGATTTCCACCTAAATTAATTTCATTAATTCCAAATTGCTTATAAATTATAACGTTTTTGTTTATAGATATTTCTGCTCGTTGTTGCATGCTTCATCTTTGCAGATGCACGAAAATATGACAACTTCGATTGGGATGAATACAGGTATTTTATGATTAGGAAATCCAGTATAATAGTAGATATTTCTGCTCGTTGTTGCATGCACGCTTCATCTTTGCAGTAACCTGCGATCAGGCCTATAAATAAATAAATAGGCCTGATACAAATCTTAACAAATGTCCATGTTTTTACAACCGTATTTCGGTTGTAAATCTGATTGGTTTATGAGACAAAAGATTTTTTAATTTGTCATTTGATTGATTGGTGCTAATTACATTATATATTGTCGTTGATATATTTATAGTGATCACAACTATAATTAGATTGTTGTTGTCGTTGTGTGAAATTTAAATTTCTCCTGCGACATTTTGATTGGATATTAAATATAAACTTTGCTGTGGGTGGAAAGCGATCGGATTAAGGATTGTGTCAGGCTATTATTTGTAAAATAGAGCCTGATCGCAGGTTATCTTTGCAGATGCACGAAAATATGACAACTCCGTTTGGGATGATTACTGGTATTTTATGATTAGGAAATCCAGTTTAATAGTGTAAACTTGTTTGTGTGAACAGTGACTTTTAAGGCCGAGTTCACGCGTCAAACTTTCCATGCGCCAAATAAAATGTGATTATGAGTTCAAATAATGAGTTCAGGGGTCATTTGTTCGAAAGCCGGTTAGCTTAATCCTAGGCCAGTTAACAATAAACTTCCATGCGAACCTCTCAACAGCTTGTGTGTAAGCTTGGAAAGAATTTCCCAGTAATCTTGTCTGCATCAATTGGAATTTTATATTCTGAAGTTTTGAAAATTAACGTGCGTTCAAAAATACACAGAGCAAAGCAACGAGTTAAATTTAATCCTGAATTATAGATATAATCAAGGTTTGAAGAACCAGGCTCAGGTCTTTTACAATTAGGTTCGTTACAACGTCACGCTAAAAAAGCATGCACTCCTGATTGCCAGCTTGACTTTGAGAGTTTTCATACAATCGGCCTCGGTATTTTTTGCTCTGGTGTGAGGGGAACTTGAACGAAACAGTTTAAGGAAAAATATTAAATTTCCTGGAGAATGGTAACCATTATTTAGAAAGGTTTGGATTGAGAGAGATAGAACTATGCCTAAAAATACAAGGAGAAATTCGACGTTTCGAGCGAAGGCCATTTCGAGCGTATGGAAGTTACTCGAAACGTCGAGGTTCTGGTTGTATATTTTTCAGGTAGTTGTGCACCTATCAATCCGAAGTTTTTTACTATTGGCTCCACCTACACTGGTACAAACCGATCAAGTACTTTTTAAATACCCATGTCGCCATGCAGTGCATGCAGTACTTCACTTATAGACTATCTATATGTATCCTATCGATTGGAGATCTTTCACTTGATTGGTGTGGATTAGTGTGCTTTTCCCAACTCAAGTTATCACAATAGTTCTACAAAACGGTTTGAAATGTTGGCTGTGTAACGCGTATGTAAAACTCCCCAACTAAAAAGCAGGTTTAGACTAATCATCACTTCAATGTTTTGAGGTATCTATCTATAAACAATGTTTAACTTATAAACATGGCACCTACCTTTACCTATACCTCTAATTAACAGAGACCTTCAACTGACAAAGCGTGAAGGACAGGATGAATTCGAAATACCTGAGAGAAACGTTTTTAGGCAGCCATTTGGGCAGTGAAGTATTTCACTGTTTAGACTATATATCGTATTGATTACAGATCTTTTGGATTGGTGTGGGTTAGGGTTATAGGGTTAGGCTATGTTTAGGATCTTCTTTCCAAGTTTATCACAATAAGTAAGCAACGGTTCGGAGTGTTGGCTGTACGTAACGTGTATGTAAAAAAGCGAAAAGCTGGTTAGGCTACATAAATTATTACTTTACTTTTTTTGAGGTATTTATCATTTATGTACAAACAACATTTAACTTAAAAATAACACTTCTCTTTCAACAGAAACCTTGAACTGCCAAAGCGCTATCAACAGAACGGTTCTTTTGATATGTGTCACGTAACAGATAAATCAATGATAATGAAAGCTAGAATTGCCAATGGCGAAATTAAGTTACGATATTACAATGGAAATGCGAAATGTGTGCCCAAAAACAAGACGATTAAATTGAAAACAAGTCGTCGGTTTGAATGCAGACCAATAAAGCACGAGATAATTTCAGGATCGAACACACAAAACAAGACAATTATAATTGTAGGTTGTAAAGTTGTCATCTTCAACTAGATGCATGCTGCAGGACAGAAAACCAAAACTCGTGAATGGAACTTATATGAATTATTGATGACATTTAATTTATAGCTATATTTAAAATGAGTGCATGATGACAAAAGCTCAGAACTCATTTTGTATAGATATTCTACTTGATAGTTGTGAGTGTTGAGGCAGGAAATAAAAATTGTGCAATTCAATTGAGTCTATTTTATCTTCCTTTCGTTATTTTATCTCTGGATTTATTGCTTGTTTTTACCTATTTAAATTTTGATTTAAGTTGAACCCTTACAAACTGCAAACACCTCTCTCAGGGGCTGTTTTATACGAGCCCGGTTAGCCGGGATCACTGATGGCCGAGGTGAGACGTTAGCTGGGCTGAAGCGGCTGAAACATTAGCAAGCAAAGATTTGCAGGAAAATTATGTTTTATTGGGCAAATTTCAAATAAAAATCATTTTATCAGCAAGATTAACTTAAGAAATAAGAGGTTATCCAGAAAGTCATCCATCTTTGTAAATACGAGGTTTTTATGCTAGCCCAGTTATCCGCGGGCTGTTAACTTTACAGAGACAAATTTCAGCCCAGCTGACCTGCAGGTGTCCCGTTTGAGCCAAATGAGATCCCAGTTCATCGGGGCTTGTTATATAAAATAAAATTGCTTTGTATAGGAAATTTTCATGAAGCCTGTCGCACCGTCGTTTAGTACACGATTATTATTTATAATATAGCATTTGTAAATTCTGAACGCTGATTGGCTAAGAGCCGTGTTGATATAACTCAATGTCAACACGGAAACGTAGGGAAATTTATTTCTTTATGTTTCTTTGTGCTATATTATAAAACAAATATAAAACATTTTTTCCGTATTCATATACAGTTATATCAACACTCGTGGAAATTGGGAAAACTCGAAATTGTGTGAAAACACTCCGCCCTTCGGGCGTCGTGTTTCCACACAATTTCTCGTTTTCCAAATTTCTACTCGTGTTGATATAACTGTATATCAACACGGAAAATGTTTCATGTTTGTTAAATATAACCCCTATGAAGCAGTCACCCCCTTTAAGTGAATCTTTTTTTTTAATTTGTATGACAAGAATGCTTTTAAATGCAGTAAGTACAAGATGTCCCAAAAATATTCCATTTGACTTCTACATGTATACTTTGAATGATTACCAGAATTGTTATGTTTGTAATCAAAGTTTTATTCGTCAGACCTATATATAACCTACAATCAGTACGTAATTCAGTACCGTTCTAAATATCTTATACTATCACGCACTATATCGTCATCAGTCCCAGTACGCGGTATATGCGTCAAGTGTATATTCCGGACATGCAATATTATACATGATCTAATAATCATGACATCTCCCTTTCAACAAAACAAAGTAACAAAACAAGTATATGAAAAATTCAATGTATAGTTATAAATCCAGTTATTAACTGTTCGTTATTGCTACCCTTCGAATCCATATCGTTCTGGGGCCGGTTGTATAAAAATGTGATTAAAGTTAACTATGGTTAAGTGCAAACGTCATCCAATAAGAAGCGCCTATTTGAGAGTTAATCACGATTTAAGTACAAAATAGTGATTAAAAAAGTGATTAAGAGTTTTATACAACCGGCCCCAGGCATCTTGACGGTTCTTCCTGAACGGGTAACTGTTTTTATTGGGTCAACCGTTGCTGCCTTGTCATGTTGTTCTGTGTCATAATCGATTTCGTTTCTCGGTTGGTCAGCGGCAGCAGGCTGTTCTTGTTGCTGTATATGTGTTTGTTTTCCTGGTTGTTCCATGATGTCTCTTCTGTTTCTTCGGTACCTCTGCCCTGTTTCTGTCTCGATGGTATATGATCTAGGTTGCTCTGCTCGGTTACATACCACTGCTGGTTTCCATTGTTTCGTAGCTTCGTCATACATTATCACTGGTTCTCCTTGGTTAAGTGGGTGAAGTTCCTTTGTGCCACGGTCGTAGTATCTTTTGGATTTCTGTTGTCGTTGTTGAAAGTGTTTCTTAATATCTGTCGCGTCGTACGTAGGTTCTAGTAGCTTGGGAGACATTGGTAAACGAGCTTTTGTTCTGCTTCCCATCAACATCTGTGCTGGAGACAAGTTAATTCCTTCAATTTGGGCATTTCGAAGGTCGAGCAATGCCATGCTAGGGTCGTTTTTCTCGTACCTGGCTTTTTTCAGGAGTTTTTTATTTGCAGTTTGTACGGTTCGTTCAGCCAAGTCATTCGACTGTGGATATATTGGAGATGACGTGGTATGACGGATGTTGTTTCTGGTGGTGTACGTCTGAAACTCGGAGCTCGCAAATTGTGTCACGAATTGTCCAGTTTTCTCTGATACTTTGGTTAAAACTTGATTTGTGATTATACCATCCCTCCTGTATGGTGTGTTGCAGGGTTTGTAACGTGAGATCGTTGTTGGTTGCTCGCTGAAATTCTTGTATTTTCTCGTTGCTGATCGGGAGATTTTCTATCGTATGTACCATATAATGATCTTGAGATTCACCAACAGCTGGCGATGGTGCTCGACTAAGTGTATCAGCGATATACAAACTTTTTCCGGGTTTGTACTGAATTGAGGTCGTACTTCTGTAAACTCGGCATCATTCGTTAGTCTCGGCGGTGCAGCTGTTAGCGGCTTTTTGAATAGGTACTCTAAGGGCTTGTGGTCTGTTTCCACGGTAACAGGCTTTGAGTATATATATTGATGATATTTGGTGCATCCAAAAAGTATTGCCAGAAGTTCATTTTCAATCTGAGCATAGTTTTTCTCGGCGCTGTTTAAAGATCGCGATGCATACGATACCGGTCGTTCTTCTTGGAGAAGGCATGCCCCTAGGCCTTTATGATGAGGAGTCTACCGATAGCACCACTGGTTTTGACACATCATAGTACTGCAGTAACTTATCTGCCGTGACTCTACGCTTGATTTCTTCAAACGCGTTTTGGTGTATTTCTTCCCAATGTCACGCAGTGTCCTTTTTCAACAGTTCTCTTAATGGAACAGTGACGTTTGAAAGGTTTGGGATGAACTTTGCCATGTAATTTACCATCCCCATAAATCTCTGCAGTTCTTTCTTGTCTTCAGGTGTATTGATCTCTTTAATGGCGTTAACTTTCTGTGGATCCGGTTTAACGCCATCACGGGTTAAGAGATGTCCCATATACGATAGTTCACTCGTCTGAATCTTTGATTTCTCTTTGTTGAGCTTGAGGTTTAGTTCACGTGCTCGTTGGAGTGCGTTTTGTAACCTTCTGTTGTGTTCTTCAACTGTTGTACCCCACACCAAGATGTCGTCCACAATAACAGCCACTCCTTCCATGTCGTCCAATGCTTGCGTCATTCGCCGTTGGAAGACCTCTGGAGCAGAATTAATACCAAACGGAAGTCTTAAAAACTTATATCTTCCGATTGGTGAGTTCAAAGTTATCTAATTTACAATTGACGCATTGTCAGGATTCTGCCAGGTTGCTAAACACCTTCGCTCCATTCAACTCTGCAGCAACTTCCTCGATTGTCTTCATGGGATAGTGTTCTCTCAGAACAGCTTTGTTTAAATCTCTTGGATCGAGGCACACTCGTACTTTCCCATTGTTCTTCTCAACCACGACCAATGAATTGACCCATTCTGTCGGTTCAACAACCTTTTCAATTACCCCGAGATTGTCCATTCGATCAAGTTCAGTTTTCAGTTTATCACGGATCGCATACGGAACTTTCCTTGGCGCGTGGACAACTGGTGTAACGTTTGGATTCGTTTTGATGTGATATTCGCCTTCCAGGTACCATAATCCCTGAAATACATCATCGTATTCTTTAATTATTTCTTCACTGGTTTGCTGTGTTGACAGATTTGAAGTACCTGTCTCCACAGATGTATCATTTACAGCGAATACTCGTTTAATAAGATTAAGTTCAAGGCATGTCTGTAAACCGAGAACCGGAACAACATCACTCTTCTCGGCTATTTGAAATTCCACAGGATAGAACTTCCCTTTGTGTTCAAGCGGCACGGTGTTTTTCCCAATCACCTTGATGCTGTGTCCCGAGTATGAGACAAGTTTTGTCTTTGACTTGACAGGTTTCTCTTTAGTCATTCACTTATATGTTTCATAGGGCATAACATTGCATTGAGCCCCAGTGTAAAGTTTCAACGCTATATCTCTTTTGCCCACTTTAACGATGACATTCCATTTATTCTTCGAATTCTTCTTCTTGGTTACAGTTCCGATATACATTTCTGTCTCTGAATCTGAAATTTCTTCAACAACATGCACAGGCTTTACCGAAGAACGACATACCCTGGGTAAATGATTTCTTCCTTGGCATTTATGACACGTCTGTCCGTTTGCAGGGCAGTTGCGCAATTCGTGATCGTCATAACCACAATTCGAACATTTCGTCTCATCGTCTGGGGTTTTTCCTTGCGTCGGTCGCGACCGTTGCGTTGCTTTCCTTTCTTCGTGTTTCTTGACTCAAAATTTTGCTGGGATGAGGATGATTTAAAGCAAGTTTATACATGCCCATAGCATTATAAACTTAAGTTAATGAAACAAGCGTTAGGACAAGAGTAAAGTTGTGCAAAGTTTCCTGGAGTACAAAGGTCTGGTACAAAGGTCAATCTGTGAATCATGTGATCATACACGTGCAAAGCGCAAGGCTGAATTAACAACAAACCATTGTCAAATCTCTTCCCATGCGTGCGGGAAAATAGACCGATCAGGTTTCACCTCTTCGTCTGTATAGTTTCCTGCTTGGATCAGTAAGTCTCATTGTGTCACTTGCAAGCAAAATTGTATGACCTCGGCGGCAAAGTACTTCGAAATTATACTTTTGGAAAAGATATTTCGTGGACATAAAACAACGGTCAGTGACACAGTATTATTCGGTGAGACGCAGTTTGTTGAAATATAGCTCTGCCGCGGGCAAGCGCTTTTACTCTTCTGGGGGACAAAGGAATACGTTGGCTCAGGTATTGATGTATAATTCAATGAGACGCAGTTTATCAGTCAAATATAACTCTGGCATGGGCAACCGCTTTTACTCTTCTGGTGGACAAAGGAATACATTGGCTCATGTATTGATGTATGATTCAGTGAGACGATGTTTATTCAAATATAACTCTGCCGCGGGCAAGCGCTTTTACTCTTCTGGTGGACAAAGGAATACCTTGGCTCAAGTATCGATGTGTGATTCAGTGAGACGCAGTCTATTCAAGTATAACTCTACCGTGGTCAAGCGCTTTTACCCTTCTGGTGGACAAAGGAATACGTTGGCTCAACCGATGAAGTTAACTGAAACCGCCGCTGGGGGAATTATAACAAGATCGTGAGGCTAAATACGAATTCAACAAGCGTCATTTGATATCATTCGTATATCAATGTATTTATGTATGCACATGCATTTGGTGCGTAAGTATGCGGTGAATTCACACGTTTGCTTCGTATTTCGCTTTTCAAACCAACCAAAATACTTTAACTTCATCTATTTTATCACAGAATTCGGATATAGTAATTGTCGACTATTCACGCTAAATCGATCTGTATTTCAATGTCAATTTTATTACCATCTTGAGGTTATTAACCGGCCAGATTGGGCCTCTGATTCGGGGATTGGGTTTCAATAAAGCGTCACATTAAACTGTATTCAATCATTCAAAAGTAGATTATATAAAACTTCCTTTCTAGCTATTTCAGGGCACTCTTTAATAAAACAAACACTAATTTGGCCCGTATATATTAGCAATACTTTACTGGGCACAACATAGGAAATCAAGTTCATGTGCGAGAGAAATTTATGATCTACTTTATCTACATTTATGATAAATCGGCAAGTTGGATGTCATGAAAGATTGGTACGTACAGTGTATGGTATGTCGCTACTCATGAA